ACCTCAAAATGAAGATTCTGTTATTAATTCCTCTCCTTCATATTTTTTCAATCCCTTGCTGTCTAAGGAGGATGAGGAGTTCTTGCACTTTATCTAAGTTATCTTTCTTTGAGTCTGAAGATGAATGAAGTTCTCAGGGGATTAGAGTGAGATGAGGGCAAGTAATTAATAATATAATGTGCATTTGGGTAAACTCTTAAAACCCACCAGTATGTTCTATTTCTGTTTCGGTCGTATTTTAACTATTTGAAAAAAAAAACATTAAAAATATTTAAAAATGTATTTATAAAGAACTGAACCCCACAAATGCAGAGACCTTCATCATATAACCAAGCCACCAAAACTCCAAATAGATATCATTTGTTAAGCATTAACTCTACATTAATAGTAAGCAGTTTATAAACACAGCTAAATGCTCTATTGTTGACTTATAAGCATGTGTAATGTGCTCAATTTTTGTGTTTTCATACTTTGTTTATAATTCATTTTTCATTACTAAATGAAGTCTTGCATTATTTACAAACTAGTTGTCTAAGAATGGTTGGTGTTTTTTAAGATCATTAAGAATGAGTAAATGATTAAAAAACTATGTGAATGAACATTTATACATTTACTATTCAGGCATATAATCAGGGCAAAAAATAAATAAAAAATACAATCGGTTCACTCTAAGCAGAATTTATATTTTTTCGGTTCTGTTCTTGCGTTGTTTAATAGACAAAATATTCCGAAAACAGTTTTCTAGAAAAAAAAAAAAAAAACTTTATTTAATTACAAAGTATTGCAGGGCTCTAGAGTGCTCTGTTTTTTTAATGGTGCAACTAAAAAATCTATACGAGGGGTAAGATTAAATGAATTTTCAATAAGTATCATTAAAGACATATTTATAATATGAACTTGCTTTTGGTTATTGATTGACACGCTGTTTAAAGGTGCTACACACAGCCCCACTCCTTGGTATCGAGCGCAGGCCCGGCGCTACATTTAGATGTTGTATAATATGAAATAGCAATAAAAATTATGAAAATTGTTATGAAATAGTTTTTCAGTTATGTAGCCTAATAAAAATATTTAGTACACTGCAAAGTGCAATTAATATTTAAATGTATTATATCCATTATTATTAATATTAGTAAAATTGACAAAACACAGAACTCTTTTGAACGTTTGCTTTCATTTTGACATGCTAAAGCGCACTTTTACAGTTTTGTAAAGAAACATCCCATTATGCAGCAGCAGTCAAGTTAGGACACTTAAAAATGCCTTTTGCACTTAAAGATGAACGGCCTGCGAAGTCAAGTTTACATTGTTATAAATTAAATAGATATAGCCTAATGTGTAAGTGAATTTGCTGCAGATCCACGTCTCACATGTGCTGTAGGTAGGGTAAATGATAATCTTTTTAAAAAATTTACTTTAGGCTATACTGCTATTTGCTCATGCAAAATTAAACACCAGAAAATATATCGTAGGCCTATATTAAGAGCTAAATTACAGTTAGCATCATAATTAGTTCAATTATGTGCTGTAGGCTATTGATTGACCAACACCCCCTGTATACAGTTTACACACTGCAGGTCTACAGTTCTGATGTGTATTTTAAATTACTTGTTTTAAATGTTGTTTTTAATGGCCTATTGGCAGCGTATAGCCGTTAAGCTTATAGTCTAAGCATGTCATTTTATTATTATTAACATAAATTACAAAGTAGCATCCTTATGATTTTATTTTGTTTCTGTATATTTTTATCAAATGAAAAATGCAATGAGTTATACTTTGGTTTTAATTTTATTAGAAATTTAATAGCCGTTTAGGCAACACTACTTCTACATGTCATTGGCTCTGATTGCGTTTTTTTACAGATAACCTATTTACAAAGATTTTTATTAAACAAGTGCACTACCACAAGATATTTTTGTAGGTGTAAAAATCTAAAAAGTATCATTATCATATTCTTGCCTTATTCATCTTTAATATAAATATTAAATTTAACACATTCATTCATTAAACTAGGGATGCTAACGATTACTCGATTGATTTATTGTCGGTAACCCTTTAAAACCGATAGACCTTATCGATGACCGATTAAGCATGGGCATTTAATAAGTTATGCTTTGCTCTTTGAGATGCGTCCACGATTTCACACATTACATAATCAAGTGTGCGCTACGTTACCCTATGGAGTCGTGCACTCTCTTGACTTTGCATATTGGTTATGCACATACTGGTCATTATGCTCAGATCTCGTTTATCCACTGGTGCTGCCATTAATCCGCTGGTCAAGTAATCAAAAAGTAGGCTGCATGACGTTTAATTATGGGCAGGTTATTAAGACCAAACATTGGTTGTGCAAACTGTATTACGTTCTCTAAAATTTTAAAGTGTTTTAAGCTACATTATCTTTTTATAGACTGGCATAGGCCTAAATACGCATCACGGCCAGACATTTATAGTTTATATAAAAACGAGCGTCACCGTCGCATTTGTTCACATGCTTTAAATTGATGCTTTTTGTCTCCCAAATTCATATAATAAAGAGAACGATAAAATAACATTATTAACCGTTTAACTGTAAACATTTCTGTTCAGAACGATTAAAGTTGATCTTTTTTTTCGGTTTTCGTTTCTGTTCCTGAAAAATGTCATTTGATTCTGTTTTTCGTTTCCGTTCCTTGAACCGGTTTGGAGCCCTGCATATAATACGTTTTTCTGCATGTTAAATAATGCTTTATTAACTCAACTTCATGCAGTTTTGTGATCTAATCTAAAGTGAGGAATATTGATGCTTTATAAATCCCTTATAAATGACAATTAAAGGTTCAGAATCATTCATTTATTCATTTATTTTCATTTTAGTTTTCTCTCTTTATTAATCCGGGGTCGCAACAGCGGATTGAACCACCAACTTATCTAGCACGTTTTTATGCAGCGGATGCCCTTCCAGCTGCAACCCATCCCTGGGACACATCCATACACATACACACTCAATCACGCTCAATTACTACGGACCATTTTAGGCTACCCAATTCACCTGTACCGCATGTAGGAGCACCCACACCAACACAGGGAGAACATGCAAACTTTACACAGAAATGCCAACTGACCCAGCCAGGGCTCAAACCAGCGACCTTCTTGCTGTGAGGTGACAGCACTACCTACTGTGTATCAAATAAACAATAAGTAATTGCAATCGTACCTAAACAAATACAATTACTGTAAATTTTAAACATTGCTGAATAACAGGAGTGTCGAAATACAACATCATTTGATAAAACAACAATATAATAATTTAACAATACATTATGTGTAAAGCAATTTTATATTTAGACAAGATTGCAATGATTTACTTTTCATTTGATACAGTTTCATTTGAGCATCTTTTAATAAGTAGAAATTAATAGTCATTTTTTTCCTGTATATAATGTAACTGAGCCTTATATTGTCATTTATAATGGATTTATAAAGCATGAATAGCCCTCGCTTTAGATTAGATCACAAAACTGCATGAAGTTGAGTTCATAAAGCATTTATTAACATACTAAACAGCTTATTATATGCCTAAATAATAAGAATTATCAATGTTATTTTGAATAGTTTATTAATCATTTACTTGCACATTCTGAATTATCTAAAAAAAAAACACCAACTACTTTTAAATATCTGGTTTGTTAATGATGTATTTTTCATTACTAAATTAAGTATTGCATTATTTACCAAGTATGAAAACAATCATTAAGCACATTATAATTGTGCTTATAAGTCAATAATATTTGTAATTTATATTTATAAATATAATTTATAAACTGCTTACTAATGTCTATTAATGTAGCGTTAATGCTTAACAAACGTTCAACTAACTATTTGCTAATGTTTCATAAATAATTCATTGTGTGCAGTTATTATAGTGTTACCCAACATTTATATATCTTATTAATCAGGCATATAGTAATGGTTACTCTGTCTAATAATAAATGCTTTATAAACTCAACTTCATGCAGTTTTGTGAGCTAATGTAAAGTGAGGACTATTCATGCTTTATAAATCCCTTATAAATGACAATTAAAATCTCAGCTATATTCTACACAGAAAAAAAGAAATAAATTAAAAGGGGGAGTGATTTATAGCTTTATATATATATATATATATATATGGTGAAGCAGTGGCGCGGTAGGTAGTGCTGTCGCCTCACAGCAAGAAGGTCACTGGTTTGAACCTTGGTTCAGTTGGCATTTCTGTGAGAAGTTTGCATGTTCTCCCTGCATTCGTGTGGGTTTCCTCCGGGTGCAAAGGCACAGTCCAAAGACATGCTACAGGTGAATTGGGAAGGCTAAATTGTCCCTAGTGTATGAGTGTGACAGGCCCATATGATAGGCTGGCCGGAAGGTGTAAAAAAGTCGTTATCATATGGACAAGTCTAAAACTGAAGGACTTGTTCCAAAAAGAGCCGACCCCGCAATCATATGGGACTAAGGCCAAAGAAGATATATATATATATATATATTTTTTCATTCATTTCAAGATACACAAATGAAACTATCTAATGAAAAGTAAATCTTTGCAATCTTATCAAAATATAAAATTACTGTACAGTGCAAACATCACAGAAACACTGAAATGAATATTGTCATGTTGTTAATTGTTGTTTTGAAATGATGTTGTATTTTTATTTTGCAATGTTTAAACTTTACAGAATTTTTTTAATAAGATTGCAAAGATTTATTGTTCATTAGATACTGAGCCTTAAATTGTCATTTATAAGGGATTTATCAACTATAAACAGTCCTTAGGTCACAAAACTGCATGAAGTTGTGTTATTATAGCATTTACTAACACACATGGTTACAATTACTATATGCCTGAATATAACATGTATAAATGTTCATTTGAATAGTTTATTAATCATTTAATAACTCATTCTGAATTATCTTAAAAACCACCAACTACTCTTATATACAAATAGTTTGTAAATAATGCAATACATAATATAGTAATGAAAAATGAATCAGTAACAAAGCATGAAAATACAATTAAGTCAAGTCAAGAATACAGCGTTTGAAGCTGTATTTATAAACTGCTTCCTAAAGTCTATTAATGTAGAGTTAGTGCTAAACTAATGATGTATAGTGTATACTTACTATAAAAGTGTTATTCAGATTTTTTATCTAAAGAGCCGAGATTCAGTTTTTAATATAAACAATCCAAAGCTGACCAATCTCTGGTTTTTAGAGCCCATGGTTCAGCTTTCACCACAGCATGTTCTTCCTGTTTGCTCCAGGATCTTCTCTTTATGGGACCTATGGGTGGTTAAAATATAAAAAAGTGGTTTTAGTTGCATAAATGTTCAGTCATTTTTACAACATGTGCTGTTATGTTAGTTTAATATTGTGATAGAAATTGCTAGAAAAATATGTCTTGCCTATTATTAAAAATACTTAAGATGGAGATGGATTAAAAAATACTTCCTATTAACTTCAAATCTGGTTAATGGGGTTACACTTTATTCCATAGTCCAGTTTAGACATTCTTCTAACTATGCGTAACTCTGCAACTACGTTAATTATCTCACCGTAAAGTATTATGTATTAGAGTATTTGCATACTGTTAGAATGTTCAATAAGACTAACGCTCATCTGATTATCAGTAGAGTATTAGCAGACTGTTAGCTCAAGTTTAGCTCAAAACACTACACTGTAACACATATCTGTTCATTACCAGTTCCTGTATTTTGTGATTTACAAGTGGGGTTTTTTTTGTGTGTGGTGGTGAATTGCATTATGGGATGTTGATCTCTGCTCTGTGAACTTTTGATGTTGAAAATTCAACTCTACAGTTTAACAAAGTGACTTTTACTGACATTTTAGTAGTTTGAAATAATATAATGTATAAGAAATAATATATAGAGATAAATAATTCTTTAGAATAACAGAAAATGTACCGTCAGTTTATTACAAGGTTTCTGTAGCATAATATACAACAACAACCCAAACAAAAAGTCACTTTTTTTTACTTTTTAAGATTAAAAGTTGTTGGAAGAAAGATCAAGATCCCATAATGCAATTCAAGAGCAGAAACAAACAGATTTCATAAAAACAAATTATGAAAAACTGCTAATTTAATTATTATTACTTATTTTTATTAATTTTAGAGTGTAGAGTATTAGCTGACAGTTAAGGTTACCTCAATAAAACTGACTCTCATTGGTCTCAGTAAATAGTACAGCAGACTGTTAGGTTACGCTCAAAATTTGTACAATATGACTAACTCTTTATAAATTTAGTAGAGCATTAGCAGTGTTGATTCTAACAGACAGTCTAATGGCTGTTAGTTGACAAGTAGTTGCAGTTACTTGTAGTTAGTAGTAGTAGTAGTAGTAGTAGTAGTAAAGTAAATTATCAAAATAAAGTGTAACCAGATATGCAATTAGTATATTTTTCCAAAGTATTTAGCAATATTGTTTAACTAACATGAAATGAGACATCAAGTGCAACTGTACTGAAATCATCATAGAAGTAATGTGCTTCTGTCCTGTTTTAACCTACATGTTATGTAAATGAGCTTGTGCATTTGGACTTGTACAATAACACAAGTCAGTCACAAATTAACTTTAATGATCATACCTCTCTTTTTTGTGAATGCTGGGTCTGCTTCACTATCTTCACAGACACTGTACCATGGTGATGATACTTGAGGGGACTCTGAAAGTAAAAATCAAGTCTGAGAGTTGACTTCTCTGCATAAAGCTTACCAAAATATTTATTTGATTTTGTGTTGTTCTTTTTAATGGGTAAAAGCGTGTGATGGTAGCTTAAAAATAGTTTTCAAACATAGCACATACATATCATGATAAAAATAAACATTCTGAAAAAAGAAAAAATCTGATCAGAAAAATAAATAATATTTTTACCTTTTAGACTGGACTTCACCTCCTCCAAAATCACAATCCACTGTAACTTTCTCTGAATGTAAAAACCCACACAAAAATATATCATTTAAAACAATATGATAAATATGTTTGCAAATACAAATGTGTATATAACATCCAGAAAATCTTGCACTGTATTACATGTTTGTGTGTAAACCCACGATTTGATCAAGATTCCACCCTTTAAAATCTTCTGAGCATCTGTTTTCAAGTCCCAGAAAAACTGAGTTGTGGGAACAGAGCAGTTCTCTTCTGCAGTCATACAGTCATAACACACACATAAATATGAAGAGTTTGGTTGCAAAATGCGATAAACGGCATTTTTTGACATTTGGATTTTATTATTGGAAATCACTGTTCAGATGTACCTTAATCTATGTGTGAATTGCTGCCATTAATAACATTTAAGAATGCACATTTTAGGCCAAGTACAAAACGTATTTTTTTTCACAAAACGCAATATCCGTCAGACCAGTTTCTTTACAAAGTGCGATATAACAGTTAAGAGAGCGTTCAGGATGCGGCGCGAGCTCAGCATCCCCTGGGAAGAGAGTCATCGCCGGTGAAGTGCTCAGAGTTTGCTCATTGATTTAGCGATAGAAGATGAAGTCTTCAACTTCACAAAAAATTATAAAAAGGCCACAAAAATGGACCAGAATAAGATACTTCTGCGTCAACAATACACAAATGCAGCAGGGAACGAGTCTCCGCTGATGTCAAGAGAAGGCCTAGGAGCGCCTTTTTTCCTACTCCCCATCACAAGATACCTGTCTGCAAGTGTCCTTTATAAGTTTATTTTTTAAATAATTTCTTACATGTAGCTGAGTAGCCTATCTGAAGATTTATTTATGCGGTTGCACCTATTATTTAAAATTAATTCTTGTTGTTGTTGATTTATTACAAAGGAACTTAAAGGGCACATGTTGTTATGGAGAAAACGGTTTAGCTTTTTCACAACCAAATAAATAAGCTATTATTATTATTACAGTGAAATAATTCATTAAATATGACATAGCGAGGCAAGTTTGTGTCACGGACTCAGCTCCGCCCGCTCTAATCATACAGGTTTGGTTTTCTGCAGCGGTGTGGAAGGAGCCGCCCTCCACTCTTTCTGTACCAAGCTAAAGGTCATTTATCTAACTAACTTAATCTTACTTATCAAACAAAACATTGATTCACTAGCTTTTGGTAATGGTATTAATGTAGTATAATATAGCCTAAGGTGGATGTAGCGTTTTGCAAAAAAAAAAAAATAAAGTTATGTTATGTTATGTTGTGTACATTCTGGCCAAATCTAACTTAGAATCTTATTATTATTAATCAATCTTTGCATATATTATTCCATGTTTGACAATGTGGGTTGGATTAATATGTAGCATTTTGGCATGTTTTTTTTACTTAATTATAGACATAAAATTAAATAAAAAATATCCTGGATTTGAAAATATTGTGTTCCTGGCCTTCACTGAGCTCAAGTTATAGTTTAATGTACAGAAATTGTGAATGAACTTGACTGTTGATGTCCTGAAAAATAATGTCAAAATTACCAACATTTTTTTAAATGGATATATCTCGTTCTGCAATGAAACTCTTTATATACAGTTGAAGTCAGAATTATTAGCCCCCCTGAATTATTAGACAGCTTGTTTATTATTTCCCCAATTTCTGTTTAACGGAGAGAAGATTTTTTTCAACACATTTCTAAACATAATAGTTTTAATAACTATTTCTAATAATCATTTCTAATAATGGACTTATTTTCTCTTTGCCATGACGACAGTAAATAATATTAGACATTAATATTATTAGATATAGATATTCTTTAAGACACTTCTGTACAGCTTAAAGTGAAATTTAAAGGCTTCACTAGGGTAGTTAGGTTAACTAGGCAGGTTAGGGTAATTAGTCAAGTTATTGTATAACGATGGTTTGTTCTGTAGATTATCGAGAAAAAAATATAGCTTAAAGAGGCTAATAATTTTGTCCCTTAAATGGTGTTTAAAAAAATGTAAACTGTTTTTATTCTAGTCAAAATAAAACAAATAAGACTTTCTCCAGAAGAAAAAATATTATCAGACACACTGTGAAAATTTCCTTGCTCTGTTAAACATCGTTTAGGAAATATTTAAAAAAGAAGAGAAAAATTCCAAGGGGTCTAATAATTCTGACTTCAACTGTATATATATATATATATATATATATATATATATATATATATATATATATATATATATATATATATATAGTTTAATGTACAGATATATATGAAAGTATATACAGTTGAAGTCAGCCCACCTTTTTAAAACTTTTTTACAAATATTTCCCAAATGATGTGTAACAGAGCAGGGAATTTTTTCATAGTATGTCTGATAATATTTTTTTCTTCTGGAGAAAGTCTTATTTGTTTTATTTCAGCTAGAATAAAAGCAATTTTAATTTTTTATGAACCATTTTAAGGTCAATATTATTATCCCTCCAATAACTTGCCTAGTTACCCTAATTAATTTAGTGAAGCCTTTAAATGTCACTTTAAGCTGAATAGAAGTGTCTTGAAAAATATCTAGTCAAATAATATTTACTGTCATCATGGCAAAGAGAAAATAAATCAGTTATTAGAGATGAGTTATTAACACTGTTATGATTAGAAATGTGTTTAAAAAATATGCTTTCCATTAAACAGAAATTTAGTACAAGAAATAAACAAGGGGGCTAATAATTCTGACTTCAACTGTATATAATTAAAAATATATATTTATATATAATTTTATAAATATTTTATATAAAATTATTTTATATATTTTTATATATAATTTTTAATTTTTATTTTGAAATATATAATTTAGACAGTAGTACTCAAGGGTCCAGGGGTCTGTTCTTCGGACCTCGCTAAAATAATCTAAGAATATATTACAGATCCTGGATCTTTTAATCTTGATAACTCATCTTAGGCTAATTTGGTTCTTCAAAAAAGTTTGCGAATCAGATTAAACTGATCTGAGAGGTGTTGTGACTGTGTGTCGTGACAGATCTATCGATCCTCAAAATCATTATCAGCAATGCAACGATTGGCTGACGGCACAGCAGCGTGATGACATCTGATTAATGGACAGTTATCAAAATTACATGAAATCCGTAGTAAACGGTTCGTTAAATCTGATATGCAATAACAGAGTTATGAGTCACTAGCTGGAGCAGAGCAGTTTTCTTCCCCTGTCATATGGTCATCCTTCAATATAAGCTGTATATAAAAAAAAAATATATTAGTTAGACAGCAGTACTCAAGGGTCGCGGTCCCCACTATGTCAGACCTTACTGTGTGTGTATTGAGGACTAAGTGTCTTTCACAGCTTCTCTAACATGCCTCTGGTCCCCACAATGTTCACCAATTAGGACACACACTCTGTTTCATTTCTATATTTTGATTAAGTTAAATAATTACAATTAAATACACCACTACTACAACAACCACTACTATTACTACTACAACTAATAATATTAATAATAATAATAATAATAATAATTGTTATTATTATTATTATAAACACACCTCATCAGAGTTGTGGGTCTCCTACTGGAGCAGAGCAGTTCTCTTCCTCTGTCATATGGTCATCCTTCCATCCTTCAATAAAAGCTGAATAAAAATATATATATATATATATATATTAGTTAGACAGCAGTACTTAAGGGTCCCGGTCCCCACTACGTCAGACCTTACTGTGTGTGTGTTCAGGACTAAGTGTGTTTCACAGTTTCTCTAACATGCCTCTGGTCCCCACAATGTTACACTAGTGCATACATTCATACATTAGGACACACACTCTGTTTCATTTCTATATTTTGATTAAGTTAAATAATTACAATTAAATGCACTACTACTACTACAACAACAACTATTACTACTACTACTACTACTAATAAAAATAATAACAACAACATTAAACACACCTCATCAGAGAGTTGTGGGTCACGTACTGGAGCAGAGCAGTTCTCTTCCTCTGTCATATGGTCATCCTTCAATCAAAGCTGAATAAAAAAAATAAAAAAATATATATTAGTTAGACAGCAGTACTCAAGGGTCGCGGTCCCCACTATGTCAGACCTTACTGTGTGTGTATTCAGGACTAAGTGTCTTTCACAGCTTCTCTAACATGCCTCTGGTCCCCACAATGTCAGTGCATATGTTCACAAATTAGGACACACACTCTGTTTCATTTCTATATTTTGATTAAGTTAAATAATTACAATTAAATACACCACTACTACAACAACAACTACTATCACTACTACAACTAATAATAATAATTATAATAATAATAATAATAATAAAAATAATTGTTATTATTATTATTATAAACACACCTCATCAGAGTTGTGAGTCACGTGCTGGAGCAGAGCAGTTCTCTTCCTCTGTCATATGGTCATCCTTCAATATAAGCTGAAAATAAAAAAAATATATATTAGTTAGACAGCAGTACTCAAGGGTCGCGGTCCCCACTATGTCAGACCGTACTGTGTGTGTATTCAGGACTAAGTGTGTTTTACAGCTTCTCTAACATGCCTCTGGTCCCCACAATGTCAGTGCATATGTTCACCAATTAGGACACACACTCTGTTTAATTTCTATATTTTGATTAAGTTAAATAATTACAATTAAATACACCACTACTACAACAACAACTACTACTACTACTACTACAACAACTAGTAATAATAATAATAATAATAATAATAATAATAACAACAACAACAACAACAATATTAATAAACACACCTCATCAGAGAGTTGTGGGTCTCGTACTGGAGCAGAGCTGTTCTCTCCTTCTGTCATATGGTCATACTTCAGCAAACCTGAATATAAAAATATATATAGTTAGACAGCAGTACTCAAGGGTTCCAGTCCCCACTATGTCAGACCGTACTGTGTGTGTGTTCAGGACTAAGTGTGTTTCACAGCTTCTCTAACATGCCTCTGGTCCCCACAATGTTACACTAGTGCATATGTTCATACATTAGGACACACACTCTGTTTCATTTCTAGATTTTGATTAAGTTAAATAATTACAATTAAATGCACTACTACTACAACAACAACTACTACTACTACTATTACTAATAATAATAATAACAACAACAATAATAAACACACCTCATCAGAGTTGTGAGTCTCGTACTGGAGCAGAGCAGTTCTCTTCCTCTGTCATATGGTCAACTTTCAATATAAGCTGAATATAAAAAAAATTATATTAGTTAGACAGCAGTACTCAAGGGTTCCGGTCCCCACTATGTCAGACCGTACTGTGTGTGTATTCAGGACTAAGTGTGTTTCCCAGCTTCTCTAACATGCCTCTGGTCCCCACAATGTTACACTATTGCATACATTCACCAATTAGGACACACACTCTGTTTCATTTCTATATTTTGATTAAGTTAAATAATTATAATTAAATGCACTACTACTACAACAACAACAACTATTACTACTTCTACTACTACTACTAATAATAATTATTATTATTATTAAATTTAAACACACCTCATCAGAGGGTTGTGGGTCTCCTACTGGAGCAGAGCAGTTCTCTTCTTCTCGTCATATGATCATACTTCAATGAAAGCTGAATATAAAAAACAAAAAATAATAATTAGACAGTAGTACTCAGGGCTCCTGGTCCCCACTATGTCAGACCGTACTGTGTGTGTATTCAGGACTAAGTGTGTTTCACAGCTTCTCTAACATGCCTCTGGTCCCCACAATGTTACACTATTGCATATGTTCATAAATTAGGACACACACTAAGTTAAATAATTACAATTAAATGCACTACTACAGCAACAACATCTACTACTACTACTACTACTACTAATAATAATAATACTAATACTAATAAACATACCTCATCAGAGAGTTGTCGGAGCAGTTCTCTTCTGCAGTCATATGGGCATCCTTCAATGAAAGCTATTTAAAAACAGCTTTGTTATATAAGTCATGTCATGACTATAAAGCTTTCATGACAGTCTTATGAACCCCCCTTTAAAGTAAAGCATTACCCAATTAATTAAACTTTTTTACCCATTAAGACAAGAAGAAGATATTAAGAGATTGATTTCATTATCTCTTATGGATGATGCAAACTCTATATTTTTTAACAGATTTACCCTTTATCTATATTAACATTAAAAAACTCTTAGCTTTGCTGAATGTATTAAGGATTAAAGTATTAAGTGATCAAAATGTCAAACCTTTCTCCAAGGCCAATCACATGCGCCATAGTCAAATGTTATTTCCTCTCCAAAGAAAATATCCCTGATTGCAAAATGGCACAAATGAGGTTTTCTCTGAACAACGATCTTATTGACAGTGCAGTTAGGGTGCAGATGGTCATCATTCACCAGCCGGCCGAGGGTCTCGTCCTCATGATCGGCATCAATGCTGCAAAACTAAGAGAAAAGAGCAAGCAACATTTTAATTATGCCCTCTCATAGCAATAAAAAGCTAAACTATGGCATGAATACAAACAGAATGAATATAATATATACATGTACATTTGAATGGGGAAAACACTTAACCACCTGTTCTTGTTTTACCATATAAAGTCAAACATAAAGACAGTATTTTTATTATTATCTCATCTATGCTTTGCTTCCACAAGCTCTATCATTTGTACTCAACCACAAAACTTCCTTTAATAAATGTGGACAACGCAAACTCTGACCTAAAAGTTTTAATGAAACGTGTAGGGTTAAAAAACTACAAAAACCTCACATTAGCATCCTCTCTGTGTGTGAATTATAAATACAGTAAACCTTTTGAAGTGGATCAGAACCTTTCAACAATGTTGTTCTAATACTATTGAACACCTGTTCTTCTTTCTTAGGACAGTTTTAAAGAACTTTTTTTCCACTTCAATTGTTTACAGGTCACACTTTACAATCAGGTTTTATTAGTTAATGTACTTACTAACATGACCTAGTAATGAACAATGCATGTACAGCATTTATTAATCAGTTTAACATTTACTAATTACTAATGCATTATTCAAATCTAAATTCATGCTTGTACCAGTAATAATGCATTGCAATAATTAATGCATTGTGCGTGTTCAACTAGTAATGAACAACTTTTTTTTCATCAACTAAAGTTAACAAACATGAACAAATACTGTAATAAAGTATTATTTATTGTTCATGTTAGTAAATGCATTAACCAGCATTAACTAATTTAACCTTATTGTAAAAGGCTACCAGTTGACAGCAAATAAATAAATAAAACACACACAGTGATCATTTATGTACTTTTATATATGTTTTACACTAAGTTGGAGTTTATTATAATTATTTATCTAAAATAAAACGTTTCTACACGTCATAGAACAATAAATTAAGTACATTTCTAGGACCAGATAGCCCCACATTTTAATTATAACCTCTATGTTACTACATTAACGTATAAATAGTATATAATAGTGTTATTTCAGGATTAACGTTAAATGTTTAAAGCAATTAACCATTTAAAAAGTACGATACAAGAACTATGAAAACATACCTTAGTAACCTTCTATATATTCGGTTTCCAGTGAATGGGTCTTGTCAGTGGAGCTGGTGATGTGTTTCTCCGCATCTTTTAATGGTTTTATCCTCCGTCGATCCATTTAGCCGCCCGGTGATTGGTGACTGTCTGACCGCGGCTCATGCACTCCACCCCGGCCTCTGACTCACGTAGCACCGGGCAGTTAGCACGTTAGCACATTAGCGCGAGTAACTTTTACTCGTGTAAACAAGTTAAATTACATACCGAACTGTAGTTTGTGTCTTATCAGTGTTATATTAATACGTAATTTGAAACAACCTCGATTAAAACACCCAGGAAATTCGTTAAAACATTTAATTAACTATACCTGATAACTGTCAAAATATGCAACATAAGTATTTGTCATATAACCTATTTTATTACATTATGATGGTGAAAAACATTCTAACTTACCCAAAAATTCGAATAATTTGATGATAGATCTTAATTAAGTTTATTAAAGTCGGAATTATTTATGAGATTGCGCATGTGCAGTAGGCAGAGTGTGTGAATAGCGCCAAGTGTGTGTCAGGGTGCAGTACCGCCATCCGACTACAGGACCGCTATAGAGCAGTGCGCCGACACACACTTACACACTCAATTCAGGTAAATGGTCAAGGTGGGGATCAGTGAAAAAAACTGCACTAGGCATATCAGCAACGCCCCCTGAGTCTTTTAAAGGCAAAACATAGTGGGGACCGGGCCATCGGTCCCCACTATGTTTTTGGTCCCCACTTTGTGAGTGTGCTATCATGCTGAGGTCCCCACCATGTAATAAAAACAAACACACACAAACACACACACTCCTCCTCAGAGGACGCAACATACAAACACACACACACATTACGCTCCTCCTCAGACGACACAACACACACATTAGTCTTCTCATCAGAGGTCCGTAAACAAAGCACCATGCGCCCCGTTTTCAACGTGGCTTTACATGCGATATGAGAATATAGCGAGTTAACCTGATACAGTACACGCGGTTACTAGTAACAAATCACAACTAAATACATTTGCAAGCTAGAGTAAACGAGGCAACAACTTTAATCGCACATACTTACACTTGTGAAATAGAGGAAGAAACCGAACAATCCATGTTCTGACATAGTCCATCAGTACTCTTTACTGATCCTTCCTTTAACAAACGGCTGATAAAGTCTACTTTGTAAGCATGTAGTTTCCAGGATTACTTAAACTGCTCAAGGCTGGGCTAATGCTGAGGTTTCATCTTTGGGTAGAGACTCAATAATATCCATCTGCATGGTGTGATGTCACATTCGACTGGCGTGTGTGTGGCTTATTTTCTGTGTTAGTGGGTGAGGCCCATAGACTGTAAAATATATGGACGTAGTATCCGTGACGTCACCCATAGGTTTCTGAAGAGCGCAAAAGAAGCCACAAGTAGGCGCGGCCAACCGTCGCCATTTTGGTCACGCGTCATCACACCCACGGCGGGATACCAAACAAGGGCAAAGAGGCGGAGAGTGAGCGGAGCTACAGACACCTGCTAGCATTTAGCTTGGACCTGGTTCAGACACACTTTACTTTGGGAGAAATGCTTAATACTTTATCACTTGTGAGTCGTTTGTATTCTGACCACTTGTGCTTGGTTGTATACTATATCAATAAAGTGTTTAGACTTTTAAAAACACTGCTGTAATACATTGAGCCACTAAACATTGTTCTTATGACGTTTTTCAACAGGAGGAAAACGCGAATTACTTCCAAACACTTCAGATATAGTCTGTGTTAGTTACTGTAAGACTATTGATGAAATCCAGCATAACACTGTATGACAACGCTTCAGATGACTGTTCTAGAGCCTACAGCTAATCAATCTGTCAGATTCTGGAGTGCATTACAGCTCTAAATATAAAAATAAACGATAAATGATCTTAAATAAAACAAATACATGTACAGAGATGGTATATAAGTATATAACTTTACTCACATGGGAAACGGAGGCCACGTGAATGGTTTGTGAGCACAATTTAGTTCACTCAGCATGCCATGCCATCTAATAATTGTGGGAAACAAGTCCAAAAGGCAGTTGACTGTGTAAAGCCACATAAAACAACACAGAAATACGATAAATATGTCGAGTTCAGTGGCTAATCTGCAGGATTCAGCTGAAGTGACGCAACGGCGACCAGCGAGACCTAACTGTCACTCAAGTGGCCACTCCCTTAATTATGCAAACTTAATATAACTTAATATAAAGGAAACGGATGAGTTATAAAAAAATTCACCCCCCTCACAGTTGTCATGAAGGGTAATATTACCTGTATCAACCAAAATCTTTTTTTGTACCAGGCTGTAAAACACCTTTTTTTCTGCTGTAAAGTTGGCCATTCTAACAGTGGGCAAACAGTTCTAACAGTTTAGGAGCCAGGAGCGGCCAAGACTAGCGGAATTTCGGATGAATTGCAGTTTAAGTTACTTCCGTATTGGCTTCCTGAGGGAGAGCGGGAGGTTGCCGCATGGTGAGGCCGCAGGTTTCAAATCTCCGGTGTTTGCGTACGCAACTACTTTCATAGATACGACATCACGAAACACCTAATGACTCGTTATCAAGACAACTCATTTGAAGCACTATGAGTCGACTCTTTTATAGATGAATCAACAGTTTTAAACACTGTACACTTACAGATTTAAGCCTTAGCTGCATATTTCACTTCACTTAGAGCTGTGTTACACACTACATGGAAGGGCATTTTCAAAAACCCACAATATGGGCTCTTTAACAAAATTAATACGCTATTTAAATAAAATGCGCAATAAAATAGAAATCAAATAGTGAAATAGAATAAACTGTAGAACTATTATGGTTATAAACTATATAAATACACACACATGTGAGGGTCCATCTATTAGTCCCATGACGGAACTAACAGCATAGGTGAAGGTTAAATGCATGTAAACCTTTTAGCACATGTGAAAAGAAATATTTTTGTTTGTTATATTTTATTTTAATTTGTTTCTAGCTCTGAATTTTTCCTTGACTCCAATTTATAATAATTTTAGATTTAGATTCATCTAATTCAAGCTGATTACCTTATAGGTCGTGATTAGGTCTAATTTAGATTGATTAACCTAATAAATCCTTATATTCAATTAATGTTTCATCGTTTACTCTAAGTCGCTTAGAGTCAGTATGGCTAGCCAGTTTCATCTGCTCACGGACACATCTTCGCCAGTTCCGATTCTTAGCAGATAAGCTAATTTCCTTTAAGTAATAATAGGCCGCCCCATGCTTGCACATACTTAAAGAAAGTTTGATTTAGCCCCTAGATTATATCATACCCCTAGATTATATCATCAGTGATTGTCAGAAATCAACAAGTCTCTAATGCTGTGCCCATGCTCCATCCATTAAGCCTGAATGGATGAATAATCCTGGTCGTAGACTGCGGAAACATCAGCCTAAACAATCTACTAGATTTAAATGATTTCAGGAGATATTAGAGTTAAACAAGAATTTTACATTTATTTGTCAGGAAAAGATTTTCCATTGCAGTTGTAACCCTCGATACACAAATGTATTATAAGCTTTTAATCAATGGACCAGATGCTCAGAAGTCTAAATTCCTCCAAAGAGAGAGAAGATACAACAACAGTGAAGGACTCGGACACAGAGGTAAGAATAATAAAAGATTGTATTGTAAAATGTTCACAGAAATATAAAAAAATAAATAAATAAAAATAAATAAAACAAACTAGGTTTTTTCTCTTATCTAATGACCTCAATCCTATTTACACTCTCTAAATAATACTTCTCTTTCTCCACAGGGTTTTATGGCTATATCACTAATAAGGTAAGTTAATATTATGTTATTTTTCTGTTTTTCTATTGCTAAAGGCTAATATTATATTTTGGTTACTATTATAACAATAATATAATACTAATATACTAATAACAATACTATAGTAAAGGTTTGAAAGTGTAAGTTAATAATACAATATTAAAATTGTATTATTATTTAACATATAATCAAGATTTCCCTTCTTAAACCAATTAACTTCTCTCTATAAAGCTTCAAAAGTTCCAACGAATGAACACTCTAAAGAACAATGTACAAATAAAATAAAAATGAAAATAAAACATTCACTTAAAACATTTCAAAATGTTCCAAAAGTCCAGTTAAGGTGATAAACTTTCAAAAAGATTCTTTTGCAAAACAACTAGGTTGCAAATTCAATTCCAGAGATCCAGGATGTTGCACTTGTGAGTGTGTTGTAAATTTACACTCCTACCATGACGCTGAATAGGTTTCACTTTGTATCTTTTCAACAGGTGTATTCAAAGAATCCACTTAATGGGAGGCTCGCCAGTCCAACTCCACAATTAGACACGCACCGATGGAAGTTGAGACAATCCAAATCCAGAAGAGAGTTCAAACTTCAATTGATTCGAATCCAGAGCAGATCACATCCAGCAACTGACGTCAATAGAACATCTCACCGATGAAAAACCAGAAGATGCACAAACGAACAAAACCAAGGAAAAGAAAAAAAAAAAACCTGGCCTTGAAAACACAAGGCCAAAGAAACCATTAGCATTTTACAGTGTATGCATTATCTCAGCTTAACACATTTCTAAATAAACAGCAACAGTAAATAACCATGGATATGCTTCTCTCTGCTGAATTTCTGTGTTTTTCCTATTTCTTTCTCCTATTTGGCATTTTCTTTTTACAAATGACAGCATTTTACTTAAACTCTCTCACTTAAACTTTACACAATCACTTGTATAATACTGTGTATAATACTGTGTTTTTACTAGACCAAACAAATGGTTAATTAATGAAACACATTTTTGACACTAGTTTAAATCATGTTATAATAAAAACAATAATAAATAATAAAACACGAACTCACCAAGGAAATTATTCAAAATCAAAGCGAAAAAAATAGGAAAACTCCAGGTGGCACTCGTGTGCAGATTTCACTCTCAGAGACAAATCTTGTTTTTTTCTTCTCTCAATCCTTCATTAAAGATATATGATAGAAATCATGTCAGCATCTTATTAATGGCCAATTTTCACAGTTAATACGCATTAAAACATTAAAAGACGTAAATCTAATAGTTATATTACTGTTATTAATATAACAACTTACATCTCTGCTTTCCCTTGTGTAACAGAGTTACAATTGCACTCTGTTAAAATTATAACATTTTTCAAATTATATTGTGATTTTTATTTATTTAAATATTTTATTTCATATTTGTGAATTTTATCATTTTAAGAATGATTTTGGAGTCATTTTCATTTATTTACTATGGCAGTGTTTAACCTGCACACCGCCCCTTTTTGTACCTCTTGTGTTGCCGTAGTTTGTTTTTTTCCCCTCCCACCCTCACAATGCTGCTGTGTATTGCTGAGGGTAGGTTGTGTAGTGCGTTGCTCCTGATTGTATTTAATATTTCTATCGTTTTAAAGCAAGTGTTTATAATTTTTATGGAAACTATATAACTTATTATATATTATATTATGTATTATATTACAAATATGCTATATTTTCTATAGATTGACAGAAGTGCTAACCGCATGGCAGATCGCCATTTTGTCTGCATGTTGCTTCAGTTCTCAGTGAGAAAACTCTATTATTTTGTGTAAATAGGGGTCGGATGTGCAGTGCAGGCAGAAGACAACATAATTGTGTTTAATTGTCTTCTCCAGGTACGTTTTACTGTCTCATTGTTTTGTTTGCCTTTTGTTTTACTCAACGCACATTTTTTGTTGTCCACCAGGTGGCTCTGTTGTGCGTAGTTTTTGCACATGCATTTTTGTTTGTAGTTGAGTTTGGTTTCTAATGATAAAGAAATGTTCATTTTCTTGAAATTGTAGAAAAAAAAAAGTGTTTTCCTGCACATTTTAAATTGATAATTTCTAAAAGTGTAATTGTGTATAAATTGTGAAAGTTATCTAATGTAATTACATATATTGTTAAGAAAACAATTCATTTGACCAGTGACAATGCTGCTGTGTATTGCTGAGGGGGTCGGATGTGCAGTGCAGGCAGAAGACAACATAATTGTGTTTAATTGTCTTCTCCAGGACTATATAAAGTGAAGGAAAGCAGCTCTTGGTGTCGTCTCAATTTCATTGAGTGAAAGTAGATCCGTTACACTGGTGCCGTGACTCCTTGGATCTCCAGATCAGCTTGATGCCGGTCGCCGTGGATGCTGTGTTGCTGATCTAGTCTACACTTCAAGATCAAAGTGGGGTCAGAGAGAGAAAGAAAACAAAACAAAACACTAAAAGAGAAAAAAATAATAATAATTTAATTATTTGATTTTTACTGTTGTATATCTTATGATGTTTAGTTGAAAACTTTTGATTACAGTTGATAATATTCTTTTGTTTTCAAAGCGATTATTGTTTTGTTTTATTAAGTTTTTAGTATTAGCATACACAACGCAAGTATTTTTTTTCACTCAAGAAAAAAAAAAAAATAAGAACAATGGATAGCTATGCAAATCATAAATTACCAAAGGGAAGGGGAGTTTGGTTAGATTACACTGCTGACAGTAGGGATGTGAGACATTCTAAGCCCATAGCTGATGATTACACAGATACAGGGTTGGGTCATAGCCCAGGTTGTACACCTGTCAGTGGGTTTAAAAGAGAAAATCTTCGCACATCCACACCAGCCACTGATGTTGACGCTATTCAACAGCTCACAGACATGGTAGGGCAGTTAGGAGCTCAAATTGGTGAATCCATTGTTGAAAAGCTAATGTCAGCTGGTGTAGTAAACATAGCCAGTGACCATCAGACTACTCCGACAGCCCAAATTACTCACAGTGAACCTACCCAACATGACTCACCACATGTGACAGTCCATGTTAGATCAGACAGAGAATTCCCAACATTTAAAGGTGACGTTACTGACAAACATTCAGTCCAGGACTGGATTGATCTGACCAAAACTTACCTCAGAAAGCATGAGATTCCTGTGTATGACCAGGGTGAGGAAATTATGAGTCATTTAATGGGCAAAGCCAGAGATGTCGTCAAGATTGCCTTGCGTAGTGATCCAGTGATTGATCTTAAACAGACACCTGAGAAAATCTATGATGTTCTCCATTATTTCAGTGAAGCTTCTTCATGTCTCCCACTCGCTGACTTTTATGCTACACTGCCCAAACACAAAGAAAATCCAGTTGATTATTGGATAAGACTAAATAAGGCAGCTGATTTGGCTCTTGATGGCTTACGCAGACAGGGAAAGAAAACTGAGAACATAAATAATGAAGTTGCACTCATGTTTGTCAAACAGTGCCCTGATCCTGAGCTCTCCTACACCCTAAAGTGTAAGCCCATTCATGAATGGACCTCACGTGATGTACAAATAAGAATTGATGATTATCAGAGAGAGTCAACAGCTAGTAGCAGAGCCATTGGGACCACACAGCTCAAGAACCATGTCAGTGCAGTGACTCCTGAGCAGCCCAGTATTTCTCCAGTGAATTCAACAATGCCGTCGCAATGCCACACTCCAAATCTCTCTCTCCAAGCTCAGCACTCAGTGGGCCCTCCCACTAGCCCTATTCCTACCTGTGTCCCTGCACAGGGCAAATCCATTCACAGTCTGAGCCACTCTTCTACGCCAGTTGTAGCACAAAATCTCCAGTCACAATCAGATGAGAGACTTCTAGCCCATATGGTTGATATCTTTCAGGATATGATGGACAAAATGCAGCAGCGTAACACCAACCATCTATCTAGGGGTGGCAGATTTCGACGCACACCTCGCGAAAGACGCCTCAATCAGCCAGTTTGTAAGGTCTGTAATGACTCAAGCCACACCACCATTTCACACTGCATGTCAGAAAGATTGTGTTTTGCCTGTTTTGGATCTGGTCACACCAGACTGAATTGCCCAGTCAGTAGCTCTCCTCAGTCCCAGTCTGAGGGAAACTAGTTGACCTGTATTTGGAGGGGGGCAGTACAGGTCTCAGCAACCACTCCCACACTGACGACACTTCTGATGCTGAAACAGTTTACACATCAGCAAGAGACTTATCCCATGATTCTGAAATTGTTGTTTATCAGAATATTCACAGAGTCAGCAGTAGTGAGAGCCTTTTCTATACACCCGTGTTACTGGGTGGGACGTTAAAAATTGGTGGCATGTTGGACACTGGCTCTATGGCTTGCAGTATGAGTGAAGAGGCTGAGATAAAAATGAAAGAGGCTGGAGTGATAAATGACCTCCACAAGGTGGATGTGAATGTGATCCTCGTTGGATGTGGTGGGCTTCATGTTAAACCCAAGTGTGCTTTTGATGTGGAGATGGAGGTGTATGGCTGTAAAATTGTGGTTCCAATGCTCGTTGTCCAGGGCCAGCGGGATGAACTAATATTGGGAACCAATGTTATTAAACATATCCTGCATCAGTCCAAGAAGTGTGAGTCTTACTGGAAAACAGTGTCAAGTCCTTTCCCTAGTAAAGATTATGAGGTGGAACAGTTCTTGTCTATGCTCTCAGGTCTCAAGCCCTGGAGAGGTGATGAAGCTCCTCAGAAGATTGGTACTGTCAGGTGCAACTCTGCTGTCTGCCTTGAGTCTGGCTGTGAATATCTGATCTGGGGAAAACTGCCTAAAAATACTGCTATATCACCAGGCAGCACTGTGATGACAGAGCCCACATCATCTCGCTCAGCTCCCAGAGGTGTTCTGGTGTCAAGAGTCGTGACTCCATTGTGGGGAGAAAAATGGGTCCCACTAAAACTCATCAATGCGTCTGACAGGCCTGTATTGTTAAGACGCAATGCAAAGTTAGCAGATGTTTTCTCCTGCATGGCAATTGAGGACATGGACATAACTGAGTTTCCAGAGAATCATTGGGCTAGTTTTTCACATTCACTGATGCCTCAACCACCTGCTAGTATGCAGTCCACCAAAGAAAGGCTCATGTCAGTTGGTCTCAGTAACATTGACATTGATTCGTGTGAGGTGTCAGAAGTATGTAAGAGGAAGATGACTGACCTTGTTTTGCAGTACGAAGATATATTTTCACGCCATCATCTCGACTGTGGAGAAGCGAAAAGTTTCGTACACCGCATTCATCTTTCAGATAAAAGGCCGTTCAGGCTACCTTATAGGAGAGTGCCCCCTGGACAATATCAAAAATTGCGTCAGGCAATAAGTGAAATGGAGGACAAAGAAATCATTAGGAAATCAACCAGCGAATATGCATCACCACTCGTTCTTGTGTGGAAGAAGAATGGGGATCTTCGTATATGTACGGATTTTCGCTGGCTGAATAAAAGAACTCTAAAGGATGCTCACCCTCTTCCCCATCAGGCAGACTGCCTAGCTGCATTAGGAGGCAACAGTCTATTTAGCACAATGGATTTAACGTCTGGATTTTACAATATGCCACTTCATGAGGAAGACAGGAAGTACTCAGCTTTTACAACTCCCATGGGCCTTTACGAGTACAACCGTCTCCCCCAGGGTCTATGTAATAGTCCAGGCAGTTTCATGCGAATGATGATGAGCATTTTTGGAGACCAGAACTACCTGAGTTTGTTGTGCTACTTAGACGACCTGTTAGTGTTCGCCCCAGATGAGGAGAGTGCCTTGTTACGCCTGAAGATGGTGTTTGAGAGACTGCGTAGCCATAATCTAAAGTTGGCTCCAAAAAAATGTTTCTTTCTCAGGAGGTCTGTGAGGTTTCTGGGCCACATAGTTGATGAAAAGGGAGTTTCAACAGACCACAGTAAAGTCGAGAACATCACAAACATGACTAGTACTGACCTCATGGATCCTGATGGTGTGACCCCATCACAGAAAAGAATAAGGTCCTTTCTAGGGATGATAAATTATTATCAGCACTTTGTGCCTGGATACTCCGCCATAGCTAAGCCACTCTTTGACCTGTTGAAGGGTGAGAAGAAAAAAAGAAAAGGTCAGAAAGACAGGACTACAGGCAGAAAGTTGTGTGCAGCGGACTGGACACCACAACGGGAGCATGCCTTTGACCATCTTAAGGCTTCCCTGGCTAACTCTATGATCCTTGCCCATCCAGACTTCACTCGTCCCTTTATGTTGTCAACAGACGCATCCTTGGAAGGCATAGGAGCTGTTCTGTCCCAAGTACAGGATGGGGACACGTGAGCCAGACCGATTGCATTTGCCAGCAAGTCATTGACTCAAGCCCAGAAGAACTACCCAGCTCACCGGTTGGAGTTTCTGGCTTTGAAATGGTCGATTTGTGACAAGTTCAGTCACTGGCTCAAAGGTCACAAATTCACAGTCTGGACTGACAATAACCCGTTGACTCATATACTTACGAAGCCGAAGCTGGACTGTTGTGAGCAACGCTGGGTAGCCAAGTTGGCAAGTTATGACTTCAACATAAAGTATGTCCCAGGTCGGCAGAACATCGTAGCTGACGCTTTGAGCCGTGTCCCTTTTGTCAAAGAGAGTGTTGGCCAAAGACTTCTTACTGAGCCATATACAAACCTTCTGAGTGCTGTTACAGATGTGTCATGTAATTCTGTGAAAAATGCTTTCATGTCATCTAGTGGTCAAGTGAAACCTGTTACAGTGTGTGGTAATGTACAGGCAGCATGCAACTCACCTAATGTATGGACTCAGTCTATTGGAATGGAAGATGTGTCAGCAGTACTGCAATCACATATAGTATGGGAAACTGGTCCCAGGGCCCGTGCAATGCAAACACTGCAGTTCCTTCCTCAGTTGATACCACCTGGACTTAACGCCTTACCTGCATACACTGAAAAAGACCTTCGTGACAAGCAGTTGGATGATGGCACTCTCTCTCGTGTCCTGTATTATGTTGAGAGGCGATGGCGGCCTTCTAGGAGAGCAAGAGCTAAAGAGTCTGTCTCGGTCACAAGATACCTGAAACACTGGGACAAACTTACCATGAGCAATGGTGTCCTATACAGAATCTCAAAGGACCCTAGAACAAGAGCAAAACGGTCCCAGTATGTTGTTCCTGACTCTCTCAAAGATGAAGTCCTGAAAGGAGTACATGATGAGGCTGGTCATCAGGCCCAGTCCAGGACCCTTAGTTTAGTAAGAGAGAGGTTCTTTTGGACAAACATTGACAGAGATGTGAGAGACTATGTTCGCCATTGCCAGCGATGCATTGTTAGTAAGACAGCTGAACCTGAAGGGAGAGCTCCTCTGGAGAGTATAACAACAACTAGACCACTGGAGCTCGTCTGTATTGATTTTTGGTCAGCTGAAAACTCCTGTAACAAGTCCATAGATGTCCTAGTAATCACAGACCATTTTACAAGGATGGCTCAGGCGTTTCCCTGTAAAGACCAGACAGCCAAGCAGGTAGCAAAAGTACTCTGGGACAAATATTTCTGTGTCTTTGGATTCCCAGAAAGGATCCATAGTGATCAAGGGACTAATTTTGAGAGTCGGCTGATAAGTGAGCTCCTCAAGATGTCAGGTATCAGAAAATCTCACACTACTCCCTACCATCCAATGGGAAATGGTAGTGTGGAGAGATTTAATAGAACTTTGGGCTGTATGATCCGCGCACTGTCTCCTGAAGCTAAGGCTGACTGGCCAAGACGTTTACAAACATTGACATTCATGTACAACTGCACATCCCATGAAACGACGGGCTACCCGCCCTTTTATCTCATGTTTGGCCGTGTCCCCCGCTTACCTGTTGACGTTCTGTTCCATACTGTCCTGCATGATTCAAATGTGACGAGCTATGACAAGTATGTGGCTTCTCTTACCAATGATCTAAAGGAGGCATTGTTAATTGTTCAGGACCATGCTCAGAAGGAGCAGAAAAGACATGCTCATCTGTACAACAGGAAAGTAAAAGGATCCAGTATTGAAGTTGGGGATAGAGTGCTTTTGGCCAACAAAACAGAGAGAGGTAAAAAGAAACTCGCCGATAAGTGGGAATCAACCATCTACACAGTTGTGGACATGAACCCTGAAACACACACGTACAGGATCTGTGATACAGTCACTGGCCGGGAGAAGGTGGTTCATAGGAACTTACTCATGCTTGTCAACTTCCTTCCTGTGGAAAATGGAATTAATGTGTCTGACTTACCTCCATCCGTGTCTGCCGTTGAATCTTCACCTCTGGGTACTGCTGATGTGGACGACATATCTGAGACTCTGTTTGAAAGAGAGAGTGAGAATGATCGTGGATCTGATGAAAACTATGATGTTGACAGCCTAGACAACTTACCTGCATGCTCGAGTGATGGAGTGAGCCTCTTGTCTGATGCAGAGCCTGGGGATTCTGAAAGGAGAACCATAGAATGGATTACACAGTTTTCTGATCCAAGTTTATCACAAATGGATGTTACTGATGTGATGTGTGATACCTCTAGACCACAAGATGTTTCTACCTTACCTGGAAACATCACGAATGAACAGTCTGTGACCTGTGACTCTGTTCCTATAACTGACATTGCTGTTGACATAAGACAATCAGAAGCTGCACCTGTCAATACAACACAAACACACAATGCACCACATGCTCTACACACTGCGGACCAGACTTCACTTCAGCGCAGTAACTTTCCTAATGCACACACACAAGTCAGATCCAGATTTGGTAGATTAGTCAAACCTGTTAATAGACTGATACAGTCCATGTCCAGACAGGAGGTTGTTCAGGATAATTTCAGTGTTAAATCTGTTTGCAAGTCTATTTTTCAGTCTCTAGTTGAGTAAATTACAGATCAGTTGCCCTAGCTTTTACGGGATAAAGTTTATTATTTTTTTTGGAAGTGGCATTACTGCTTTATATAATTAATTTAGAAGTTTTCATCTCTTTAATGAGCGTATTCTACACTGAAACTTTGGGTCTTGTGGGGTGTACAAGGCACCCTGTTGCCAGTAGCTGGATTGGGGGATAGCGCTGCTCTCATACCACTTCATTCTTTTGGAATACTGTTGATGTTGGATTTTTATTTTGATGACCCTTTCATTGTGAATGTTGTTGAAGTTGTGTCAGATATGTACATTGTAGATGTAGCTCAAATTTGATAAAATTCAGTGGAGGTGAATGTAACAGAGTTACAATTGCACTCTGTTAAAATTATAACATTTTTCAAATTATATTGTGATTTTTATTTATTTAAATATTTTATTTCATATTTGTGAATTTTATCATTTTAAGAATGATTTTGGAGTCATTTTCATTTATTTACTATGGCAGTGTTTAACCTGCACACCGCCCCTTTTTGTACCTCTTGTGTTGCCGTAGTTTGTTTTTTTCCCCTCCCACCCTCACAATGCTGCTGTGTATTGCTGAGGGTAGGTTGTGTAGTGCGTTGCTCCTGATTGTATTTAATATTTCTATCGTTTTAAAGCAAGTGTTTATAATTTTTATGGAAACTATATAACTTATTATATATTATATTATGTATTATATTACAAATATGCTATATTTTCTATAGATTGACAGAAGTGCTAACCGCATGGCAGATCGCCATTTTGTCTGCATGTTGCTTCAGTTCTCAGTGAGAAAACTCTATTATTTTGTGTAAATAGGGGTCGGATGTGCAGTGCAGGCAGAAGACAACATAATTGTGTTTAATTGTCTTCTCCAGGTACGTTTTACTGTCTCATTGTTTTGTTTGCCTTTTGTTTTACTCAACGCACATTTTTTGTTGTCCACCAGGTGGCTCTGTTGTGCGTAGTTTTTGCACATGCATTTTTGTTTGTAGTTGAGTTTGGTTTCTAATGATAAAGAAATGTTCATTTTCTTGAAATTGTAGAAAAAAAAGTGTTTTCTTGCACATTTTAAATTGATAATTTCTAAAAGTGTAATTGTGTATAAATTGTGAAAGTTATCTAATGTAATTACATATATTGTTAAGAAAACAATTCATTTGACCAGTGACAATGCTGCTGTGTGTTGCTGAGGGGGTCGGATGTGCAGTGCAGGCAGAAGACAACATAATTGTGTTTAATTGTCTTCTCCAGGACTATATAAAGTGAAGGAAAGCAGCTCTTGGTGTCGTCTCAATTTCATTGAGTGAAAGTAGATCTGTTACACTTGCGAACACTGAATCACCATAGCAACGGTAAACACAAGCTAACAGACAAGCGAGATTTGTTAATAGGCTCGTTTGAGGTGCGCCTCGCCTTGACTGCATTGTAAACGAGAGCAGGCGTGCGCAGTAAGAGGAAGTGGTGGAGATCCCGTTCGCGTTTTTTATCGCAGACGAATGACCTCATGAAAAAATACTATGGTGATTTATAGTAAATATTATGGCATTTTTGAACATGTTTATTCAGTATTGGGTTGTGTTTATTGTTGTTGTGATACCAGAACTATAAAATTTAAATAGGCTATTTTATAACATGCTTTAAAAGCACTGCATTACTATAGTATTTTTAATGTAGGAGTGGATGCAATAGAAATATCACTGTTTTTACAAAGAGATGGTCAGAATTACAGAAGATGAACAGCTCATTAACTAAAAGGGTGTATTAAAATATAATTCTGTATATTTAACAAACGTTAAAAGAATAACTAAATAAACCGTTTATACAGCAAGAAAACTTTCAAGAAACCTAATTTGGCTACATTATAAATGAAGTAGCCATAGCAAGATGCTTTTGAGTGACGGGTCATGACAAATGTTTGTTTGACAAATAAATTCTTAGGGGGTTAATTATATTGACATGCTTATTAGGTCTATATAAACTGCTTTTACTCCAGCCAGACTAAAATAAATAGCCCAAGACTTTCTCCAGAATAAAAACTATTAGACTATAGGAAAAACTGTGGAAATGTTCTTGGTCTATTAAACATGACTTTTGACTCCACATACATATACATATGTGTGTGTGTGTGTGTGTGTCTTGTTTACTACACCCTTTTCACTTCTCATATGAAACCACACAAAGATGAGGCATAATGACAAAACAGTCTGATTATCTTTGTATTTCTGAATATAGGCCTATGTATATTGGATTGTCTTTAATGGAATAATGCTGCATAAAAATTACAATGCAAAATTCACACAAACATACAAAAAGTGAAAATGACAACAAACAGGACTTAAGACTGAGAGAGAAATAGAATACAGCACATGCACATCCTAATGATTTATTAGTAACATTTAGTTATATTGGATAGGTCACGTTATGTTTTACAAAGATGTGTTTTGTTTTTGTTTGCGTGTAAATCTAAATAAATAACCATATGTAATGCTCTTTATGACTTTTTTTTTTAATTATCAACGATAATACAAAAAAGGTATTCAACAAATCCAGGTATAAACCTTAGCAAAACAAGATAATAAAGTGTAATGTGTCGGTCTCATCCAATCAGCATTAAGCTGTGTCGTCAGCCAGTCGTTTCCCATCATGCTTTTGGTAACGCAGTCTTTTGAGAGCAACTGCGGCCGACTGCTCTATCCGAGGTACCCGCCTCGAGATCGCGAGAGTTTTTTGGCGCACGTCAGCGTGACATCAGAGCGAGGCGAAGGCAAGGCGGACACATTTCTAACCGGCATGCATCTTGCGGTGATCACCGGTGATCGATTCTGCGCAGATTTTGGCCAAGTCAAACGAGCCTTTTCTCTAGTTGAATCACAGCGCTGGAACGGTGCAGGCTTATGACGTCACACGTCACGCCAAAATAAAAGTCTTTTTTATAAAAAAAAACCTTTTGCCACTTACTGTTGCAGTATTGACTTATTGATACATTTCTCCCTCGTTTCCATTTTCTCACAGACGCACATATATTCAGTATTTGGAGTTGATCAAAACCTTTACTCTAAACATTTTAAGACAATTAAAAAAACTTTTTTAATCCACTAAGACTAAGTGTTTAAAGCAAAAATCTCAACATTCTAAAAGGTATAACAAATAATCTAATGAGTGTTTGGAGCTGAAACTTTACAGAAAAGGAGGTAAAATAGGTGTCCTTCATGTAAAAAGTATTCATTATTACTACACGTTTTAGTTCTTCTAACTAGTCATGACTTATATATATTTTTTCTCTGCGTTTGGACACTTTATCCTGTTAAAATTAACAAAACAATAAAAATGTAAAATGAATAAAACAATGAACAGAAAGAAAATAACTTATCTTCTTCTTATGAGAGTAATTAACAAAAATAAATCAGATAAGTCTGAGCAAGAAACTATAGCCACAAATTAGCTGATTAAAACTAGCACTCCATTTCTTATATATAGTGATGTAAACTTAGAATGGAAAGACATTATACTGTTTAATAAATAAAGCTTCAGTAAGACACTTATTACACACACATTGTTCAATAGTCGTCATTACTGTGAGTAAAATAGTACTTCGTTGAATGTGTCTGTAAATTTTCAGCTCAAAACACCCATCAGATTATTTGTTATACATTTTAGAATGCTGGGATTTTTTTTTTTGCTTTGAACACTTAGTCTAGTTGGATTATATAAATTAAACAAAATTGTGTTAATGTAGATTTAACTCGAGGAGCTCAGTGAATATTCATTTTCATTTTTAATATTCATTTCAAATTTTTAATTTAAAAGGAAAATTTATTTTAGAGGAAAGTGTTACTGGAGGTCTTTGGTTGAGAATATAGACTAGAACCTGGCTTTTACCTGGGAAATATTGCATTTCCAACAAGGCAAGAGAAATACACTTTAAAATTGTACAGAAAATCTACCCTGTAAAATTCTAGTATTTCCAAATTTTTTGACATCGACAGCCCCTGTTCTTTCTGCGAACAAGCAGAGGAGACACTTGTACATATGTTTTTTAATTGTCCAATATCAAAGCAATTTTGGTCACTCCAAAATTTAAATATATCTGCTTTTGCCAATGCTGTGAATTGCTTTAATCTAAAAGACATTATTGTTATTATAATAACCCAAAAAGCTAAATCACTGGAACACATCATACATTTTTTTTTCTTATATGGCAAATTTTTCATTCACAAACAGAAATTCGCAAATAATTACTCATCATTTGCTCATTTTAGAATAGAATTTAACACTCTCCTAAAATCACTTCATCTTATCAACAATAAAACAATCTAAGATTCCTGAAATATTATGTAGATGTATTTAAAGAAGATTCTTGATTTTAGTTGCTTTCCTTATGGTGATTTGTTTAAGTGTCATTGTAATTTCATTCATTTGTTTAATTTTGTTTGTTTCATTTAGTAATTTTAGTATTATTATTATTATTAATACTTTAATTATATTAATATATTTTTCCCTTTCTGTCTAATAGTATTATTTGTATTTGTATGTGATTTTAGATATTTTTTCTTATGACAAAAAAAAAGTGAATCAACTGGAGAAAGGTTTGTTTAAAAGCTTTTACACAAAGCGTATGATTAAAGTTTCAGGTTTTTCATCCAATACTAAATGATGTTCCTGCTGTTGACAATATAATTTATCCCTTTATACAACGTAATACTATTTTACTCAAAGTAAAGAGGACTATGGAACAACGTGAGTGTATTAAGAGTCTTAATAAAGGTTTAATTTTTTTTAAATAAAATAATTTCACTTCAATCTAAGTATACATTACTATATATAAAAAATGCAGTACTAATTTTAATCAGCTCAGTTGTGGCTATTGTTTCTTGCTCGGACTTACTGGATTTATTTTTGTTAATTACTCTCATATAAATAAACTGTTGAAGAGGAGTTATTTTGTTTCTGTTCAAAGTTTTATTTATTTTAAACAGGACTTTTTTTATTGCTTTGTTAATTTTTAACAGGATAAAAAGTCAAAACGCAGAGAAAAACTATAAATATTAAGTCATGACTAAAAGTAACTTAAGTGCAAAAAAAATGTTAAAAAGACTTTTATTTTGGCGTGGATTGTGACGTCATAAGCCTGCGCCGCTCCCGCGCTGTGATTCAACTGGAGAAAGGTTTGTTTTAAAGCGTTTACACTTATATAAAGCGATTGATTAAAGTTAGTTTTTTTATTCAGTGCTAAATTATGTACCTGCTGTTGACAATATTATTTTAACCCTTTATACAACGCAGTACTATTTAACTCACAGTAATGAGGTCTATTGTTTGAATAAAGATAGGATACACTTTTTGTCCCTGAGAGAAAATTTGTCTTGGGCAAAAAAATGCTACACGTTGCTGTAAGCAGACAATAAAGTAAATAAAACAAACAACAATTAAGGACATACTCAAATAAACTTACAGGGATGTAAAAGTGTGTAATAAGTGTTTTAATGAAGGTTTACTTTATTAAATAGTATAATGTCATTCCATTCTAAGTATACATCACTATAAGAAATTGAGTACTAGTTTTAATCAGGTCATTTGTGGCTTTTGTTTCTTGCTCTGACTTGCCTTATTTCTTTTTAGTTTCTTTCATACAAAGAGACTGTTGAAGCAAGTGTTGAAGAGAAGTTACTTTATTTCTGTTCATTGTTTTATTTATTTTAAACGGAACATTTTTAATGTTTTGTTCATTTTAAACAGAATAAAGTGTCCAAACACAGAGAAAAACTCCTGCTGAAGCGACTGATCTCCACACTGTTATAAAGATGGCGTTTATTAAAGAGGAGAGTGAAGATGTGAAGATTGAAGAAGCAATTACAGTCAAACAGGAAGATCCACAGGAACAAACAGGTTAGTTTTCATTCTCATAGACCAACTCAGTCATTTAATTTTCATTCAGATATATTTTAATAAGAAGAATACTAAATTAATCCATCTTGCAGCCCTGAGTGTGCTGCCTAGTTCTCCTAAATGTACATAAGCACTCATTGAAAGACAGGAATGAGTTTCATCTGTTACTTGTTCTCATGTCTTTTGTCATTCTTTTATGTATTATTAGTCTCCCATTTTCATCATCTTGGGCCAAAAATATAGTTATCATGATGATAATACGATTAATCTCGCAATCTATATACCCTTTCATTATGTTCTTGGCTGTTTTTGACCCATTGACTTCCATTATAACCACATTTTTTAACCGTAAAGCCATGACATCAAATAATAATGCATTCTAGATTGTTGCTGTTTTCCTTGTTGGGAAGAGGTCAAATGTGTCATTTTTACTGTTGATCATCAGTTGGCTGCATTCACCCTTTAGATGGGCCTGTTCAAAAAAAGTTTCTGTCTTTTATATGGAGTTCAGTGGAGTAAAACAGCAGATTATAGTGTGAGTGCATAAATACACTTTGAAGGGGGACCAACAGTTTTAACCCAAA